GTTGAGGTTGAAGGAGCTAGTTGTCACACAGCTTTGGGTTACCTTCGGGGCATTAGGGAGCATTTAGACCCAAGCACGTAAAGATTCTGATTTGGTTGCTGTAAGGAAGTTAAATGCCTGTTGTTCAATTCTTGTCAGGGTTCCTAACGTCTAGGGTGTGGGGTGCTTGGAAGTGTTGACAGCTACCCAGGAAGACTCCCTTTTCTGCAGTGGTCCTTTTCTTTCAGATGGGTTCTGAGGAGTTTGAGGGGGTGAACATTGGTTCGAAGCTTTGAGGTGTTAGCTAGGGTTTACAAGACTATGCACCTCTTGTACGGGTGTGTATGTTTACATGGTTTATATGTATCTACATATACACTCGCTTGAGAACCCATCAGTCATGTAGTACCGCAAAGGAAGAGAGCACAGTGGGAGCTGCACGAGATTGTGCTTGATGTTCCAGATTTTTCCATGGCGTGTTCTTCCTAGATAAGCCGTAATAGAGCCTTTTTTTTTTTTTTTTTTCGTATGAAGCCTCAATGTACAAGTTGCAGCTCTGCATTGCCCGTGATGGAGCGTTGTGCCCTGAACCCGACACAATGTGGCAGGAGTACATCGAATATGGGGATCTTGAAGATGACTACACATGTACTCTCCTAGCCCTATATTCAGCATAGAACTATTGCTGCTGCAGCAGCAGTAGTAGTAGACTATGTTTGGAGTGCACCCCAGCACCTGGTTCTAATTGCTTAGGTGAGTGCTGAGTGACAGGAACGTTAAATCCACAAGCCCAAACGCAGAGCTCCAAAAACTTATCCCTTCCCGAACTAACACGGAAACCCATGTGAGCTGCAGTCTAAACTCCTTAAAGGCGGAGTTTATACGATGGCTCATATAGCCCCGTTTCGAACAACAGTAGTCTGCGGGGGACCACTTTTTAGATGATACTTCGAGGAGTGCTAGACCCAAATTCCGAAACAACACAAAACCCTAAACCCTAAACCCTAAATTCCTAAACCCAATACCCTGAACTCTATACCCTTTACCCTGAACCCTATGCCCTAAGCCCTGAATCACGGAAGGTTACCCTGCTCAATTTTGCCATCACGCCAACGGGCTTGGAGGTGGCATAAACCGGCTCTTGAGAGGATTTGAGAATTTAGGTTTAGGATTTAAGGTTTAAGGTTTGGGGTTTCCTACAGTCATGGGTTCTCCTACCATCACCCTCTGTACTACCCCTCCCCTAGGTTCCCCCCTGATTAACCTTGATTAAGCTTAATTATCCTTAAGTAATTTTAATTAAGGGGACCCTAGGTAGTATCTAGGGGGGTAGCAGGGGAATCCATGATTCAGGTGCGCTTTTAGTGCTTTTGTGTACATGTATCTAGGAGACTCACAGGGCTTAGGTGTTGGGGCATTGGGTTTTGCGTTTGGGGATTCCAAATCGGTTTGGAGCCTGCCAGGGCCTCGGGTCATCCTGTATACTCTGAACTAGTACTCACCTTGCGATTACCCCACTCCAGCTAAACTTACTGATGGTCAGTAGGGAAGAAGGGAATATAGTGTAATATACTATAATCCCTATATAATCCCTATATAACCCTATAACATATGCCCTTATTCCCTACGAACCACCAGTAAAGTAAAGCCTACTGTGCGTAACTTTCAAGTTGAGGTTGTGTGGGTTGATTCTGAAAGGCAGGCAGAAGGGTGTTTAGGGTTTAGGGTTTCATAGCCCCCCTCCTTTCAGTGGCCTGAACATTAGGATCCATACTAGAATCCCTATTGAGGGGAGGAGTTTATTAATCGTTGTCCACATTATTGTGGTTGCAGGCACGAACAATGGGCGAAGGCCACATAATTAGCCCTAATCCTTGCATGGTTTGGGATTAAGGGTTTAGGGCCATAGCCCGGCCCGGTAGAAAAATACCTCCAAAGCCTTCTGAAACTCCCCTAGTCTCCCAAAATAACCAACCTAAACCCCTAAATTGTAACCTGTTGCCCTAACCCACCCCAACATGCGGAACCCTAAGCCCTCGAGATCAAGATCTGAACCCTGAGCCAGAAAATCTGCCACCTAAACCCTGAAACTATGTACCCCAGTACTACACTTTTTCCCTTTCAATTTCGGGCTGCCCTTATTAAAGCTGAGTATTAGGAAAAGGTTACCCTGATTGTTAGTTAAGGGCTGGCTGGGGAACATAGGAAACTTAATCCATCAAAGCCCCCAAGCCCTCATGACTAGTATCGAAAATAGATATGAGAGTGCCCCAAATTCCCCTGTTGAAGTGTATTTTAGAGTACAATTAAGGATCATCTCACTTGGCTCAACCACCAAAACCTAAACCCCTAAGCCCTAGACCCTAAACCCTCAAAACCCTAAACCCAAAACCTCAAAAACAGTAATAACGTTACTCCAAGACCTAAACCCTTGAGCCCTAAAACCTAAAAGCCCCAAACACAAATCCCCCAAAAAATAATAACTGCCAGGATCAGATGCTGGGCATTGTGGTGGCAAAGGAGCGACCAGATCTGGAGGAACAGAAGAGTCAGCTGGTCCCCTCCTTGAGGGGAGGAGGGTTTGAGGGTTAGGGGAATTGAAGATTCAATGTTTAAGGTGTTTGGGGGTTGAAGTGTTTAAGGTGTGGTGTTGTAAATCAGGGATTAAAGGGTTTTGGAGTGTAGTGTTTTGGCGTTAGGGTTGGCCGCGCTGGGTTTTGGGGCAGAACAGTCTCGGCATCCGCCTAACAACAAGTATTCTCAACACGTTATCTTAGAGTGTAGGGTTTAGGGTCTATAGGGTCTGGAGAAGGAGTGCGGGTTGGGGCTTTCGTTATGAGAGGGCTTCTTGTTGTCAAGCCCCCCCCCCCCCCTGTCACAACAAGTTGAGCTGCCAAACTTACCAGAGTTGCCAATGTCCGGTTCAAGCAACTTTCCGTGTGGGAGGGGTTATCTGTTCTTAGGCTTGCTTCAAATCTGTATAAGCTATAGTCTGAACTCCTTGTATCCCCCTCACTAGTAGTACTCCCCTGGATAATCGCCTATATTACCCCTCTAAGGAGTTCAGACTATGGTTCATACAAGCTTGTGACAGTCCAAGAGGGCAGCTAGTGGCAGCTTACAGTGGCAGAAGCCAAACACTGTAGAAGCCAAAACCAGATAAACCATCATATGAGCTATATTCTAAACTCTTAGGCTCCCCCTTATAACCCTATACTCCCTTATATAATCCCCTATATAGCCCCCTTTAAGGAGTTTAGACTATAGCTCACATCAGCTTCGATGGTTGATGATTCTAGTTTGGTTTGAGTATGCCGCCGCACCCAAGATCTGCAACCCTTGTTTCGCAAAAAGCATCAAGCCATTGACCTCAAGGCCTGAGGGTTTAGTGTTCAGAGTTCAGGGTTAGGGTTCAGATTTTAGGGTTTAGGGTGCAGGGTTTGGGCCTAAGGCCTGAAGTTGTAAGACCTTAAGCCCAGGAGTAAACTTGCAAGCCCTAAGCCCCACACAGTCAAGCATGCTCCTAGCTCTGCCGCAAGAGGCCTTAGAGGTTGGCCGGACATTGGGGGTCCGTCCTCAAATTTCCTGCTGGCTCCCTTCTGCTTCCTTCCGAAGATGTGTGCAACCTAGGTCAAAGACAATGCCAAGATGAACAAGCAGCTTAAGGAGATCGAGGTGGCGTCAGCTGAGGGTTAAATGCAACTTTGCAAAAAGATTTACCGTGGGGGTGCAGCTCCGAAGGGCCATTCATCATCTGGTTAACGCCACATAGAGCTCACGATTTCTGCTTGAAATAGGGTCGGAAGACTGAACTCGATTCGCGCACTGGTCCGATTGTCACTCCCCCCTTCGAAACCTCGTTGAACGTGAGCGCTGGAGGTTAGCGGTCTCTTTGTCATTGTACGTGAGCATGATGTGAATCTCTTGCTTCAAGCCACAGGCAGCTGTGCGAGTTGCAGTGAGGGGTTGATATGGCGTTCGATGTGGTTCCAGATTCAGGCAAGTGGCTTTCTGTCAATGCCCATCAAGCTCTATGGGTACTACCATCAGCACTCACAAAGAAACTCATGAACGAAACGCTTATCCAGATGATATTCCCTCGCGATTTCCTAAGGACCGTATTGCCTGGCGAGCTTGACCTTTCCTTCGGGCTCTAACTGCTAGGTGGATTTTCTTCAGCAGAGGTAGGCCACCTGAAGTTGCATGACAGGAGGAGAGTCCAATGCAGTTGAGCAAGACCCCAGTAAGATACCCGAAACCCAAGTCTTGCCCCAAGTTCTTCACCCTAAACCTGAGGCTCTACACCCTAAACCTGACACAGGAACCCTTCTTAGAGTCCAAGAGTAGGTGATGAGTCTTGCTATGGTACTTATTGCAAGTACAGTACAAGTCTTGCAGGCCCACTGTAAGTTTCACAATGCACCTAATATGATTTTGTTGAACCTTGCGGAAAAGCGGAAAGCGTTCTCACATTGCGAGCAGGCCATGCCTGAAAACAGGGGGTTGTCCGCATGCTTCCCCTCCCCCCCCCATCGCTCTCTCACACTCTCTACGTCCATATGTTTTCCTTCAGTATATTGATAAGGCAGAGACCTTCTAAGACACCAAGACAGACACAATCCCGCAAAACCTACACGGCGGCACCGATTTGGGCAATGCCAGGATGAGATTCTTCATCTCTTATCCGCCAGCGAAGGGGACGTGCTGGAAGATGACACGCTGGCGCCGCACTGAGCCTTCATGCAGTATAGGCGAGCAAAATGCCTGTGGTTTGCTTTCTCACACAAGTAGATAGGAGGGGCTCTTCTCAAGGGTGGGAGCCCTATAGATCCTTTCAATCCACATTGTTTTAAGGAAGACCCCCCAAGGCTCTGACATGAAGTCTGTTGCACAGGAATGTGTACGCATGCTTTTGGGCAAGCATGCCTTGCTCAAACAGCTGGACTCCCCCACAGCGGAAATTATTGAGTGCCGATGATTATAGACGTCGTGGTCAAAGTCCTAAATCCTCCAATCTTAAGCAGGAATCCTAAAACCTGAACCTGGACCCTTAATCCAAGCCGTTAAGGCCTCCATAGGCAGATGTTTTATATACTGATTTGTACATACAAGGAATAGCCTTGCGATCACTGGAGACACAGGGAATACAAATTCTAGGCGCCCCTTGATAGAATTCAGCTACTTGCATGCCTGTAGCAGTCCCTGCAAATTCCGCCGTAATGTAGCACTTGCAATTTTTTTCCATTTCCTAGATTCCAAACTTCCATCTTCTCCATTCCTGCATTCCTTACGAACCCTAAGCCCTAAACCCTAATCCAGCCACAGCTTCCATGCAGTTTTTCATTTGCTTCTCTACTCATTACTCATTAATTCCTATAACTCACGGCCCCTTCCTTACGACCCACGGGTTTCGGTTTTAGGGTTTAGGGCTCGAGCCCCGTGTAAACCCAGGTTCCATATGACTGATGGTTTGCCACCCGATTCTTTAAATGACTGTCCGGGCCGAAAACCCTTCTAAGATTCTGAGCAGTTGCTTCCATGTTCTGTTCCACTTCTGACTAGTAAGTTTTGCGGTTTAGAGTTTAGGGTTCCAACGCTGCATATAATCCCACCCTCAGGCCTAAACTCTAGGTAGCCGTTCCATGTTGTTTTCCATTCCTCCCTAACCATAGCTGAGAGACTCCAAACGGGAGCGCCGGCACGATCTAAAGAGTAGATCTCCCTAAGCGTTCCCAGAAGTCACTCGCGATCACAAGCTCGAAGCCCTGAACCCTGAATCCTAAATAAGAAAAGGAAGCCATCACAAGCTCGAAGCTCCAGACCCTGAACCTTAAACCATCAGAAAAGCAAGCCACCACAAGCTCGCAGCCCTAAACCCCGCACCCTCAACCCTAAACTCCAAAACCCCCCGAACCCTAAACCCTAAAACCCTTAACACGATAAGTGAGCAATCTCAAGGTCGACAAGGTCACGGCCTCCAAGCAGGTTTCTCTGGAGATCGGGGAGAAGCAAGAGGCGGAGGGGGTCTGCCTTCAGGTTTTAGCGTTTAGGGCTTAGGGTTCATCCCTACCCTAGGATTTCTTAAGGTGTAGGGTAGTTTAGGACTTTTAGGGTTCAGAGTAAAGCTTAATTAGGACTTAGGGCGGTCTTAGGGCTGATGATTTAGGGGAGACTAAGGTGTGAGGCTTAGAAACCCCAACTCGCGAACCTGCAAGTGGATGTATGGGGGGTTTAGGGGGTGCCTTTAAGCCATACTCTAACTTCAGTCCAAGGCTCATATGCACTAAATGCCTGGACCCGCAAATTCCCTGAAAAACCTTGAGCCTTTGGGTTTTGGGTTTCAGAATCTCCGGAGTGAGGGGTTCCTGTTTGGGAGAGCCATTGCAAAGGACTAGGATTTTCTGGGGTCTATTAAGGAGGACCTCCATCTTGGAACGCTCACAGGCCCTAAGCCCTAAGCCCCTAACCCTAAACCTCAAATCCTAGACCCTTAAGTTCAAATCCTAAGCCCCAAACCCTAAACCCCTAAACCCCTAAAACCTAAAACCCTAAAACCCAAAACCCCAAAACCCTAAACGTAGCTAAAACCCTAAAACCCCAAACCCCAAACCCTAAACCCCAAACAACCACAAACCCTAAAACCCTAAACCCTAATCCTGTAGGTTCCATTTTATTTTCCATTATCCCAAAATATAACCCCAATAAAACCCTACATAACTCCTATAGAACCTGTAACCCTTTAAAGGGACCTAGAGTTCCATTTCATTTTCCATTTTCTTTTCCATTTGATTTTCCATTATTACCCCAATATAACCTTATATAACCCCTATAATCCCAAAATAACCCCAATATAACCCATACATAACCCCTATAATTCCTATAGTTTCCATTTTCTTTTCCATTATCCAACCCTAAACCGTAGCGCGCATCGCGTCATGAGCCCTGGGAACCTGAGAGGTGGCTAAGGTGACCGAAGTTGACATTGACAATGCTCGGGAGCTCGCATCCCAGTCGTGGGTGTAGGGTTTAGGGTTTGGGGGCTTAGGGTTTAGGGTTTAGGGTTGGGGGTTTAGGGTTTGGGGTTTAGGGTTTAGGGCTCAGGCATTAGGGGTTTGGGGTTTAGGGTTTAGGGTTTGGGGTTTAGGGGTTAGGGTTCTTTCCGGCTTACGGGTTAGGGTTGAGGGCTCGAGAATATTTTCCGAATAATGGAGAACTAAAAGTAAAGGCACTACACAACATCTGGATTGTAAAGACCCTGGGCTCTTGTCTATAAATGCAGCCTACCTTGGGCCCCAATATCACTATGTGTTGCCTACGCAGGACTATTTGTAGGCCTGGGGCTTTTCAGGGGTTGGACATCTATTGCTTGAACAATCAGGCTCCGTAAGAAGGAGCTGTGAGACTAGGCCCAGAGGGTCCATATATAGAACCATTAGGGAATTTGGCCCAAAATACCATAATATACAGGGAATTATGGGTCCCAATTCCCTAATGGTTGTATATGTGGACCCTCTGGGAGATGTTTGGGAAGTATGTCGAGTTTATGTGCTTGAGCTCTAAGGCATTTATCACCCATCTCTACACCTTGGCTACTGCCCCCACCCAGTAACAGTTGGATAAGATTTATAATATAGCCCTTAATAGGACCCCTAATATAAACAGTTACTGGGTGGGGGCAGTACCCAATCTATACCCTCAAAAACTAATGTAATATGGGGCTGCTGCCCGGTGCAGGATCGCTCCATCCACTGTACCTCCTTAGTTTTCCTGAGAAGCTCTCCAGCGCCCCATCCTAACCAGACCTCGTCGGGAAGAAGCGCATTTCAAAGTTTGGGGTTAAGGGTTTAGGGTTTAGGGTTGAGGGTCTACGGGTTCGGGTCTTGCGCTTCAGGGGATCAGAAATCCGCGAGTTTCACTTAAGCACGAGCTAACAGACGCTCAAGGAGTGCCCTGCTTCAAGATTTGTTTGTGAGGCCTTGTCAGTTGCAATGGACAAACATTACCGCAGCCAGTTGGCCAGGATTTCCACAGGGATTATGGTATATGTATTGGGGTTTGTATAGGGATAATGGAAAAGAAAATGGAAACTACAGGGATTATAGGGGTTATTCTAGATATGTAGTTCTCATATTCCTCCTAAAGCAACAGATTCCACGGCCTATAGCTCCAGGTAAGCCATGATCTTCTGATATTTTTTTGTACTGCAATGTACTGCATCAAGTTGGCTTCTGATTTGAGAATCCCCTCCTGAAGGCTCCTTACAGTCATCCTTTTAGCCCATCGGCTGACACAATCGGTCAATACATGACGGGCGTTCGATTTCCTTCGCGAGGTCAGCAAGAGAGTAAGCAGATACCTGAAGCTGTGAAGCCTCTATGTCCTAAACCCTAAGCAACAGGGTAGCTCGGCCTTTAGACGTGTTACTTTACGGACTTCGCATGCACCATGCTCCGGGTCGTTCCCAACGCTGTACCGCTTCGCGCGCATGGTCCGGAGATGATTCGCGCAACGTACCTTGGGGGTTTAGGGATTAAGGGTTTAGGGATTAGGGTTGAGGGTTTAGGGTTTAGGGTTTAGGGGTTTAGGGGTTTAGGGGTTTAGGGTTTACGGTTTAGGGATTATGGATGGTGTTCAGGGTGCCCAGAAAGCCAAATATCCCTTAATTACTTAGGCAGCATACACTAAATGATACTCGGAGGATCCCTAGTATGATTTAAGGCATATTCCTGAATGATGGGGATATTGGCAAGTAAGCCAACTATTGGGGCAGGAGAAACGATTTACGTAAGAGGCATGGGTTTGAAACTTAGGATTTAAGGTTTAGGGTTCAAGGTTCACAGTTCACTGTCTACAGACTCTCTGACCCCTGCTAGGACCCCTCGAGGAAAGCGATCAAATTTGCAACTGCTTTGTCGCAATGGTTTGTTTACCCAAAGCAAAGGACATCTGTCGGAAAAAATCCTGCCATTGTAAACAAGGTATCAACAACTTTCAGCTTGTCAGTGTCCTTGTGCGCCGACTGAAAACTCAAGCCTAAACCCTAAATCCTAAACCCTAAACCCTAAATCCGAAACCCTAAATCCTAAACCCTAAACCCTAAATCCTAAACCCTAAACCCCAGGTACCGCTTGAAGATGACGGCCAGAGTATCAGCCAGGGCTTTTGCATCCACTGGCTCAGCTGCCTTCATCTTCGCTTTCGCACGCCAAAGTCGCAGGCTGCATCCCGCAAGATCCATGCACTCTTCCCGAGCGTCGCTTCCCAACGTAAAGACAGGCCGCAAAGTTGCAAAATGAGGCTCCCACACATGCTAGGAGCGCTAAGATGGTTTGACTTCGGTACTGTGTTTCTTGCCATAAAGCTCGCCGCGTTCAGCACCGCTGGATAAGGATCCATGAGTGGGGAGTGTTTAAGTTTCAAGCCAAGCTACTCAATCTGATGAGTCGCTTCGCCATAGAGTTTGAATCTGTTCAAAGCCTATAACTTGGAGGTCTCAAAGTGTATCCTTGTCGTGAGATGGCCCTGCATTCTGACAGACCTGAAGGTGAGGTGTTCATCCAGGATTTGTTCTCCGGCAGAATAGGAACTGCCAGCGCCGAGCCGGATGTGGATTCTCAGATACCTGGTCGCCCAGAGTCCGCTTTCCCATTTCAATTCTGTCCTTAGCCATAGTGAGCTATAGTCTAAACTCCTTAAAGGGGCTATATAGGGGATTATATAGGGGACTATTATAAAGGTTATGAAGGGGGATACTTGGAGTTTAGACTATAGCTCAGTGGTCCCAATGGTTCCCATGCTTTTCTGCGAGTTACCGAAGGAACCCTCATGTTTCGGAGCACCAGTGCGCTGAGTAGTACGTCAAAAGGAGTCAACTTATGGCTGCATGTACTTGGGTACCGTCCGCACTCATTCACAGCTGTATAATAATAAGTATATAGTAAGTATATGTACTTATACTTATATATATATATAGCACTTAATATGACCCCTATGATAGACTGTTAATGGGTGGGGGCAGGACCCAAACAAGTACCGTCAACAGAGCCCAAGAACCACTACCTAGAGCCTCCTAAATAGTTCATTCCTGAGCAGTAGATTTTATTTCCTTACCAATCACCGCAAGGTCCAAAACAACAAATGGAACCCTGAACCCCTAAACCCTAAGCTGCATAGCTTGGGCGTCACCATCTCAAGCCCAACAGCATTGAACCATAAGGTCCCCTGTCCTGCCAAGCGTTGTCGAGATATAATATAGACACACTAAGAACAATAACAATAATGACACAGTCATTCGCGCAGAATTTCACACAGTTCTTGCTAGCCATTGCATTAATTTCAACACTGACCATTATGAGTCTGAGGATTGTTTCCGTGGAGTGCTCTGTGAGCGCCGAGGGCCACGAAATTCGCTGCAAAGACACCAAGAACAAGCAATTCATTTTCCAGGCGTCGACAGAAAGCTTTTAGTAATTGAAAATAAAGATGACGGCGGTGATGATGATGATGATGATGATGATGACACTGCTGGAACGATACCCAAAGTAGTAGTGGTCCCGTATATTATCCCCTCCCTACATAACCTCCTTGAAGGAGTTTAGATTCTGGCTCAATGTGTTGGGCAAGGATGCTCTGGTTCAGCAGCAGCAATTTGACACCACGCTTTTATTGCCATGATCCATATGTTCCTATTTGGCTCTTATTATTGTTACTTGTATATATATATATATCATTCTTGTCATACGCCTCCTTCTCGTCTAGATATTTGCTTCTCCTGCGATGCGCTTGGCACGCGTCCTGTGCTGCTCTCACAAGTTACGCTGCTATAGGGGTTATTAAGGGTTATACTACGAGTTTAGAATATAGCTCACATAACAGTTCCGTGCTGGACTGCTTTCACTGACCAGTGCAGCAGCCCATCTATTTCCAAAGCTATAACGCCTTGAAAACCATGACGGGATTCTATACATTTTATGCTGACAGCAAAGAAGTGTTTTGAGCTGGGTGGTGGTGCACGCACTGAAAGTGTATTTGCAAGGAACATGTGTCTTTCTGTCGCCGGGACTTCGTGTTCTACAGAAACGATTCAAAGCCTGAAGCTGACAAAGTGGGCCACCACCGACGAGCACAAAGAAACAAGAACAAGTTGCTTGAAAAACCGCGAGCTTCCTGCTAGGGTTTAGGGTTTCCGGATTGCACTGGCTGGCACAAAGCATCTGTTGTGAGACAAAACTTTGCAGTCTACCAGGACCAGGTGTCTCCAAAAGAGGTCTGTAACTTACTGGCTCTTAGTATAGGGAATAGGGGAATACAATCCCTACATAATCCCCATACAACATATTCCCGTATTCCCTACAAGGGAACGAGATCAGCTTTCCCAGCCTAGGCTTGCCAAAGCCGTAAACAAGCTTTGGATCAAGTATATCCTCAAACGCCCATCCCTAAACCCTAATCCTTGAAACCCCCGAATCCCTAAACAATAAACCTCGAGGATCCGTCTATATCCTTAAGGGTATAGTCTATATCCTTAAGGGTTCCGTGCAAAAAAGGCATGCCGTGCTTCGCTGCTAAGCCCTTCTAAGATCTACTTGGCTGCTGTCGAAAAAATCAAAACGCACCAATATCTAAAGGCGGGCCCTGCTGTTTCGATACGTGTTTGCATGCATTTCCTGCCTCACGTGAGCTGCGACAGTTGCACGAGACGCAGTGCTAACTGGTGATTTTTGACATGCCCCGGACACGTCTACAACCTGAACAAGCATTCGGAACAGAAGCCCTGCCAAGAAATTAGGCTGAACATCGCACGAGAATCTCCCCCTAACACATGTAGAAGGCACACTGCGCTGGCTGGGGCCCTTAACTCATCCTGAACATTTTTCGCGGGCAACCGCCAGGGCGAACCCTATCAAATAGCACCTACATTGGGCCCCAAAAGCTAAAAACATTGCTGGCGTTGGGCTATTTCAAGCCGTGGGATTGGTTTTAGGGTCTAGGGTGGCAAGATCCCTTTTGCTTGCAGGTGCCCTCCACGGGCCAATCTCCAGCAGGAGGGCCGGTGAAGAAGGTCCGGGCATCTCCTCAAAAGCAACTGGGTTGGGGTTTAGGTTTAGGGTTTAGGGTCTTAAAGTAACCAAGTAACTTTGATGTAGGGAGGTCGTGTTAGGGGTACCATCATAGCTGGTTATATTGCACATAAGAAGGTCATTGCAACTGTAATTTGATTTAAGTTCCGTATCACGCCATATAGCTTGACACATTAAACAAACCTCCAATTAATTTTCGATATTCGGTCCCAGCTAATTCGTAGTTTTTGATTGAAATCACTAAGCTATTAAATCCCAATCCCTAAACCTAAAACGCTAAGCTAAGGCAAATCAGCCATCTTACGTTCAAGGACAGGTAGAGGCTGAAAGAGCTTCCACGCTTCCGGGTCTATGAGGGTTAAGGGTTTAGGGCTTAGGGTTTAGGGCTTGGGGTGTAGGGCTTAGGGTCAGGGTTTAGGGCTTAGGATTTGTGGCCTAGGGTTTAGGGCTTCGGGAACCCTAAATCCTAAATCCTAAGCCCTAAATCCTTTTAGCTACAGACACACCAGGACTGGCATTTGGAGAGCGTCAAGGTTTGTAGCCAGGACATAAGCCTGCGGGAGTCGGCAACGATGCTGGGCCATTTGGTTGAGGGTTTATGGTTTACAGGTTAGGATTGAGGGTTTAGGGGTTGAGGGGTTTAGGATTGAGGGTAAGGGTTCAAGGGTTTGGGGTTTAGGGTATAGCTAGATTTTTTTAGCTGGCTTAGGCTGGTTTCTAGGGCTCTAGCATTTTTGTTACCTATTATGTAAGGTAGTGAGGTGAAGCCTCTGAGTTCTACGCAAGGTCCTACAGTGAACTAGGCTTTCTTTGCCAGGTTCTCGGAATGGTAAACACTGGGCTGCTTAAACCGACCTCACCCGACCTCACCCTAAATGGTGGTTTATCCAGACGTTGAAATGGTACACAACCCTAGGTACAGTCCCAGCACCGGCCAAGGATTGTGGATGGCCTGAAGTCGGAGGTTGAAGAGAAATTTGCAGAATTCAAAGCAGGAGAGTTGGTTGAAAGTATGGGGTACCTTATCATAGTGTTTAGGGTTTAGGGCTTAAGCCCTCAAGCCTGAACCCACAACCTTTGTTTAGCAGTTGACCTAAGGCATCGTAGGCCCTAAGCCCCAACGCTTAAACCCTAAACCGAAGCCCCGAGCCCTAAGCTTCCAGCTGCCTATTGGGAAATCCAACCTTACTGGTGTCTCAGTAGGGAATACGGGAATTTGCATTATAGTATAGGGATTCTATTCCCTTACTCCCTACTATCTACCAGTATGTAAAGGAGTTGGCCAGCCAGAGGTTGCCTCTGGGCCAGAGGCAACTGATGAAGCTCAGCTAAAGGACTTGCAGCAGCGCATGGCCACTCGAAGCAGTTCAAGGTTTATAGTCCCCTTTAAGTAGATAGAATATGGCTTTGGGCATATTTTAATAAGATCCCCATATACTCCATATTCTATCTACTGAAGGGGAACTAGACCTTCACCCAAACTAACAAGGAACCTGAAAGGGTCCCTGGGAAGATTCCTGTCCTCTTAAAAAAAGATCTAGAAAAGGGATTTCATGTTCACTTGTGGGGAGGGCTCTAGGGAAGGGCATCTTGCAACATGTAGAACCACCAGAGCAGCACTGTAATCTCAGGGTTTAGGGCATGGTAGTAGGGTTGTTTGTTTTCTCCTTGGCCACCTCTAAAGGAAGTTGTTGTTGGCGCCGCTATCTCCGAACGCCATACCTATCTCCATACCCCGAATCCTGAGGGTCCAATCCAAAGTATGAACACAGGATCGACCCCTGAACCCTAAACCCTACACACTGACGCAGGATTGACCCCGTGCTCCTGTAAACTGGGAAAACATTCCTTGCTGGACTACTTGCATCTTGAGTCTTCAGGCACCAAACCCTAAACCCTGAATAACATGCTAGTTTGTATCTTCGTCCCAGTCCTTGCTGTAAACCCCATAGACTCCTTGCTCCTAGAGCCTAAACCCGAAATAGTTTCCATTTCGATGTCGAACCTAGGCCAAGGCCCATCGCTGCCTCACGGAGGGCCTGCAGGAGCCTCGCGAGCCTCTTTCACATGCCTGCAACACTGGCGTTTAAGCACGGATCCTGTGCATAGAGGTCGGTATTAAGGGGTAGGTCCAGGTACACCTTTGACTATACTAGAAATCCACCTTGGATTTAAGGAATATCCCTTGATTAGGGGGTCTTGCCCGCATCCCTAAACTCTATCTAACTGACATCTCGCAGGCTGCGCCTGTAGAGAACAGGTGTGAGTGTCAAAACTAGACACCCTAAACCCATAAACCCTGAACATCTAAAGTCTAAACCTCATCCTTGAACCCTGAAAGCCTAAACCCCGCAAACCCTCATACCCTAAACCCAAATCCTTAAACCTTATACCCTAAACCCTTGTATAGCCCTTGGATCCCAAGCCCTAAACCCTGTAATCTCTAGACCCCAACCCTAACCCTTCAACCCTATAGCCTAAACCCTCTAACCTTTCAACCTCAGAAATCCTGAGCCCCAGAATGTTCGACCCTAAACCCTATAATCTTTGAACCCTACCAGCCCTAAACCCTAAACTATACACCCTAAACTTGCGCGGGGAAGCCATGCAGGAGCGATCCGTGGAAGCAAAGTTGCTTCTACTTGCCTTCCTGGGAAGTGAGAATGCCTTTCAGCCGCCGATAGATGTATGGTTAAGGGTGCAAGGATTACGGGCTCAGGGTTTAGGGTTTAGAGGGTTTAAGGGTTTTAGTGTCTAGGGTTAAACGGATTTCACAGAAAGGGTGGGCTGTTCGAGACCGTAGGGATATCTAGGCATTATAATGGGATTATGGGGGTCCTCGTCAGGGACGGTATCGGGATCACTTTGAAGCACTCCCTATCAATCCTCATTGTGGGGATTCCCCAAGCAGGGTCCTTGAGTTTTGGAGGCCTTTGATGTCCCTGTGTAAGCATTGGTATTCCTGAGGGTTCTTCAAGGTTAGGGTTTTGGGGTTAGGACTTTATATTTAAAGGGAGCAGTTCGACAAGTTGGGGGCCTTCATGTATGAGGCTCTATAGGCTTTATCAGAATGGGGTCCCTCAGAGACCTCTTTAGAGATTGTGAGGTCACCGTGAAGCTCCGGATCGCAACAACAAGTGAACTGCAGGAAGTCAAGCAAGGGTGTTTCCGTGAAGTAACAGGGTTCGTGGCTAAGATTTAGCATGGAAGGCCCCTTAAATCCTAAACCTCCAAACCCTAAACCCTACACCCTAGACAGTAAACCCCAGAACCCTAAACCCTACAGCCTAAACAGTAAATCCCAAGACCCTAAATCCTACACCCTAAACAGTAAACCCCAAAACCATAAACCCTACAGTACGTATCACCGTCCCAAGCTTTGGCTTGTAGTCAGTTTGTAGTGCTGAGGGACTTCTACAGAGATGCACTGGATTACTCTGGTGAGAGAGTGTCAAGTTTACGTGGGCATTGGGGGGGAGCTTCAACCAGCATAATCGGAATGATGATCACCAGGAAGACGGTGGCAATGGATTTTGATTGAGGGATCAGGGCTGAGCGTTGTGAAAGAAGATCTGTAGGTTACAGGCTGCGGCTGGTAATGCGGCAGTACTATAAAATTTTAGTGAAAAGGCATTTTTCATGCCGGCCCTCCTTATATTGGCTTCTCTACCCTGAGCCCTAAACCCTAAGCCCTAAACCCTAAACCTTAAGCCCTAAACCCTGAGGTCTTGTTCCTTGGCCCACCTGGCACAGCAAAGAGTCTCCTGGCCCGGCGCATGGCCCGCGTTTGCGGCGGCCAGTACTTCGAACGCCTCTTGACCCGCTTCTCTGTTCCAGAAGAGGTGTCAATCTCCCTCAATATTGAGCTATAGTCTAAACTCCTTATAGGGGGTTATGTAGGGGATTATATAGGGGAGTATTATATGGCTTATTAAGGGGGATACCAGGAGTTTAGACTATAGCTCATATAGGGTTGAGGGTTTAGGATTTAGCACCCCAATCTGGGTTGATGTTAAAGAGCTTAGATCAAGTTACTATAAGAAGGCAACTCTATTATTTACTATATGCCCATGCGATGGTAAGTTAATGTAATTTCCTCAACATCAACCCAGCAATATATAGGCCGCCTGATTATGGGCACGCCCCCCAAGAAGGTGTCCTTAATTTTTGGAAGCCCTCAGGTGTTCGGCCCTTACTCGCTGAAGTCCTTGGAGAAGGATATTGGTGGATAGTAGGGATGGGAGTATATGCAATGGATCCCCAGAACTAGTAACCTTTATACCTCTATACAATCCCCAAGAATTTGGTGGTTTGTAGTTCGTAGTTTCCATGTTCTTTCCGCTTCCTTCATTCCCTGCGAACAACCAGGACAAGCTCAAGCGCAACGTGAAAGGCTTCCTTCCCACGGCAGACGTAGCCTTCCTGGATGAGGTATTCAAGGCCAATTCTGCGATACTGAACTGCCTGCTAACTTTGCTAAACGAGCGGGTCTTCGACAACGGGGACCAGCGTATCCAGGTGCCCCTCAAGTGCGTTGTCGCCGCCTCCAACGAACTCTTCGAAGGGGAAGAGCTAGCTGCATTGCACGACCGCTTTCTCCTCAGGCACTTGGTCCCTCCCATGACTCGCAATGCAGCCGCGGCTTTCTTGCAGGATCTGCTGGGAAGCAAGGGGCATTCTGCTGCCTTTGAGGACTTCGATGGGGAGGCCGGCATTCTTACCGAGGAGCACATCAAAACAGCCCAGAGAATGGCTGCTGAGGTCTCCTTCCCAGATGACCTGCAGGAGTCTCTCGGGGCCTAAATGAAGCAGGTTTTTTTGCTATGGTTTTTGGTGAGCGTAGATAGAGTTCCTCAGGAATTTTAATGAGTGTAGATCTTGGATGTCCAGTTGGGGAGACGAAGAAAAGCCATGGGTCAAATGATTAGAACAGGGCAAACAGACATGGCACTCAACAGAGGATAGGAACACCTGCTAAAGATCAGATCGATTTCCCAGAGCCACCTGGGGTATGGGATTCAGGGTTAATCACATAATCCAGTGTCTAGAATGCGATCAGATAGGACTTCGCGCTCGCTAGCTATATACAATCGGCTGGTTGACCTGCAGGCTAGGTTCCTAGTTCATGCTCAAGAGCAAGAGTAAGAAGGGCACACATATGCAATTGTGGAAGGTAACCTGCAAGATCATGAAGAGCTTTTTGTTCATATTCCCGCTTTGGACCCTATAAACCCTAACCCTAAAGCCCTCCAAGGATTCTCATAGACCTCCGAGACCACATGGCTGAAAATGACTGCACAATTTCCGACCGTAGGTTGGCGAAGGCCCGCAGGGATGCGGTTCAGGGCTTAGGGTTTAGGGTTTAGGAATGGAAAAACATACGAAAACAGCTGTTTAGCGTTTAGGGTTTAGGTCTAGGCTGAAGGAATGGAAGAGAAACGGGCAACAACGAGAGCAGCGGCGACGACGACTATATTGTTCGGTGCCGCCTAGGGGGCCCTATTGTAGACCCATGATTACATGATTAATAAAAAAAAACTCCTTTCAAGGGCCTTCATGTTAGGAACCCTATGAGAATCCCTATTATGGGGAAGGGGTTTATTAATCAGCAACTACATTATAGGGATCCTTTCCTCAGTTCCGTAGGAACTACCAACAAGAGGAAGAGCGGGATAGATCTAAAGGTCTTGGGAGCTCAATTTAGGATGAGGAACTATGATAGTCTAAACCTTAATTTAACCTTCGGCTGCCGTAACCTTAAACCCGAACCTTTAGGCGTGTGGTTCATAGGGTTGGGGGGGAGAGCGTTTGGATGTTTGACAGAGAGAAGGATCCAGTTTATAGTCACCTTTATCAGCCTCATCACGTCTATTGTTGTGGCGCAGTGCTCCCAGTCATTAGTGAGGTGCTGAGTAGCTTCATAAACGACAGCTGCTAAGCAATACCACCACCACACGGTTCCCACCACAACTACCGCCACTTGTAGTTCGGTTCTTCTTGTGAAGGTTCCTAGAGATAATTCATGACCTTCACATGCGGACATGAGAGGCATATTTTACCCAGGTGTTCACAAGTACATATTGAAAAAACAACGGGCCTTTTTGTGCGGAGTCTCAAAGCTACATGCTCTGAAACGGGCCCTAAAACCAATAGCTTTCTCCCAAGATTTGGTGGTTTGCAGGACATGGGGCCCTAGCATGGACCCGAATTTACTTATCCTCGGCATGGGGAAGCCCCAGCGCAACCCTTGGATCAGCCCTTTATCCCCCTTAAAAGGGACCCCTACTTACTTGGGCTAAACCCTAAATCCTAAACACGAAGCCCCATTTGTTGTTTGAAAGGCCGCTTTGCTCATTCGGCTGGCCGCATGCACCGCCGGTGCGAAGACTGTGCCTCGCCGGGATAAGAGGGTTTAGGGTTTGGGATTTAGGGCTTAGGGTTTAGGGTTTAGGCTTTAGAGTTTAGGGTGTAGGGTTAAGGGACGTTTAGGGACCGTAGATGTCCTACCTTTTTTGGTGTCACACCCGACAAGATTTCTAGTAAGGTTACCTGTAACTCCAACTGCCTACAGTTTTATGGGTTATACCCACTAGCTGAGGGTAATCATTAGTAAGCGAAGAGTTAAAGCATCTGATGCGATACTTCTAGGGCTCAGTGTCTATTTTGGAGTATGTCGTAGAGCCTGAACCCTAAACCCTAAACCAAAACCTTTCCAGTACCCTTTGCTGGGGCTATAGGGGGCCATGACAGCGCGTATTTGAGCTCTAACAGATGGGAGTTGGAGGGCTGAGGTGGAGAGGTATCAGACCATGGCTAACTTAGCCACGAATTAGATAGGCTTTAGGTGGACCCCCCACCCAGTAATAGTGACTATAATGGATAATCAGGATTATATTAGGGTCCTCTTATATTCCTAGTATACCACTATTACAGGGTGGGGGGTCCTCCTAAGATAGGCTCATGGTCTACCTGTAGGTATTCTCGGAGTTTACTTGCGTGTGGTAGTTTTTTAGCCCTGTCTTGCAGGCCTCAGATGAGCTACCCTCAATATTCGCTACTAATAGGGACCCTAAGCAATGGACATAGGGCCCCTCTTGTGGTTTAGTATAGTCCCCAATATAGTCCCTAATAAGGAACCCATGACCATGAATTATCTGGGAAAAGATTGGCTTTAGCTCATATGTCCTTCGGCGTTTCTGTTCTGGAAGCTCCTCAACCCTAAAACCCTAAACTCTGATATTGGGAAAGTTCCAGTCTTGGAGGGCAGGGCATGCACTAAGTAAGCGAAAGCTCAGGATGAGCCAAATAATATTGGGGTAATGGGGGGATGTTATAGGGCGTATGTAGGGCATATGTAGGGTATATGTAGGGTATATAGAGGGGAGGAAAAGAACATGGAAGCACAAGATCATGGCTTCCAAGGAGGTGTGGCCAACTTTCTCTCTCTTCTCACAGTTCATGATCTGCAGCTATGCATGAATTTGGTTTTTGTCCCCAATGCAGAAACACCTAAACCCCCATTGAATTGATTTTGGGGGAGTGCTTCTACTCACTCTAGCTGCTCCTCAACTTGAATGCTGTAGCCTTCTTCAGAGATGCTTCTTGTTGTCATAGTAGAACCCTAAACCCTTAACCCTGAGGAATTGTTACATGATTTTTTTTTAACAGGTCTAGGGGGATTACAGAATTCCTTAAGCCTAATCCCCCAGCCTGAAATCCATGTCTGATCCAAAACCATCCAGGTGTCAGAGTCGGACCTTTTCCTCTTGCAGCACCTTGTTTGCCGAGAGGGTTTAGGGATTAGGGTTTAGGATTTAGGGTTTAGGGATAATGGTTTGGGGGTTTCGGGATCAGGGATTAGGCTTTAGGGGTTTAGGTTTAGGGACAAGGGTTTAGGGTTTAGCGTTGAGAGGTTAAGGTTTGAGGTTGAGGGATTAGCGTTTAAGGTTTACATGTTAGGGTTGAGACATTGGGGTTTAGGATTTGGGGTTGCTCAAAATGAGAGGCTTTTCGGAACTTATAGGGCTCTCCCCTCTATTACGGCTATATAGGAATGATTTTGAGTCAAAAGGTTTGAGCAACATCCATACCCTGAACCTTAAACCCTAGGTAGTTTCCAAGATCAGGGCCTTGGGTGGTACCCAAAAAACTGCGGAGCTTCGCTCTGCAAGGTATCCAAGGATGGCCCAGACCTGGAAGAACTAGCAAATGACTAGTTTGGGGCTTACTTACTGGGGTTAGTAGTGAAGAATGGAATATAGTGTGTGGGGATTATACACGGATTCTATGGCCGACTAAGACCCAGGGGCTAAAGATTCACCAGCCTGGTGCATAAAGGATCACATGGCCTATCTCATATATCACCTTCCTCAGACCCTAAGTTCCCCATGAGCCTCCAAGCAGGAACTGAAGCAAGGCATTAGGGGCCCTCCTGCAATCACACGTAGTGATTTTTTTTCTTTGTGGGAGAGGTGGACACAGGTGCGAAGCAGCTGTTGGGCTCCCAAGTAGGCAGTACGGTTATATCATATAACCGTACTGCCTGCTTGGGAGCCCAAAGTTATATCACGGCTTGTAAGTCTCCAGTCTTCAACCACTGTCAAAAGGTTTATTCCAGTGGTTTAGATTCCGACATCCATTTCAGTTCTGTTTTGGGAAAAGCCTTTCCGCATGTTCAGATGCCAGGCTCAGGGAATCGGCTAAGGGGCTGCAAAACACAGATGATTTCAAGGCTGCGCAGGTGGCCCATGAAGGCACCATGCGTTCCAAATATTGGGGTTTGGATGTATTTCATCGATTTCTGAGAAGATGTTGGGGCATCCCCTCGTGCAAGCGCTGCTGATGTTCATGAATACCATGGGGTTTAGGGTTGAGGGTTTAGGGTTTAGCTGTCGGAGAAAGGCCTACCATCTGCTGATACAGTGGATCCTCCAAGAAAAAAGCACTCCCAGATGTACTCGTCTTTGCCAGCCGAGGTACATGTTCTGGGAGCAACACCAGGCTATGTGGCGAAATTAGACCTCTCAAGTACCTTCCGTAAGCGGCCTACAGTTTTTGGACATCTACTTACTGGTGCTTCAGGGAGAGTAGGGGGTGGGTCCCTAAGACGATACCTATATAACCCCCACATGTACCCCTATAAGGGTGTCTATATTCATTTCCCCACGCCCCGCTTAAGCGCCAGTTCTTCCCCCTTTTCTCATTGAATATTGGTCAGAATTGGACGAGCCCTCCGAACTCCTGAACCTCCATGCCTATAAATGGTACCACTGTTGGGCCCCAATGTTTGTCCTTAGTGCCTACGTCGCGCTAAGGTGGAACCAACAGAAAGCATACTTTGAGCCGGAGAGCCTGCTGAATGACATAAGCCCACAAGAGCATAAGCCCACAAGGCATTGAATTCCTACAACTTGTCAAGCCATAAACCCTGAGCCCTGAATTCTACACCCTTAACCCTAAACCCATGAACTTCACTCTCCGCCCTTCGCCCTTCAAGAGGACCAGATCGACGCCGTCAAGCGCTTCCTGACAGAGCGGATAAAGGGCCGACGTACAGCAGGTGCAAAGAGGGCTCAAAGTACAGCCTTGGGTTTAGGGTTTAGGGGTTTAGGGTTTAGGGATTAGGGTCCCATCTTGGTACCCCTGAATACTGAGTGCTGCAATATACTCCAGAAGTCAAAGGCATCATTTTGGGAAAAGCCCCAAATAGGTGACATGAAGAAGGTTTGTTTTGTTGTGCTTTTTGGTGAGTGCATGTAGGGCTCCGCAGGAGTTTTGGTGAAATAATACTTATTATGTTGGGTGTGCGGTTTGGAAGGCCTGAAAATGAAGCCATGGGTCACATGTCACCGAATTCACAGGTCAACCCACTAAAGGCCGTTATACTGGATCAATTTTCGGGGTCCTCTATACTTTTTTGGGCCATTGGGGTATGGGATTCCTTATATTTTATGTAAAAAGGTTCCTTTTTTTCTTCCTAGACTAATGTGGGCTAAGTATAAGGGGTAGGGAGCCAGAAGGCGCCAGAAATTCAAGGATCCCGCAGAAAGGGTTCCATGAAATGCCCCTGGGTTTAAGGTTTAGGGTCCCTGGGCTTAGGGTTCACGGCCTTCTAGTACTCCAAATCTAGGATCCTGGTGCGTATGCTCATGTTTTAGGGCGCCAGCTCCTTCGGGGTGACATGATTCCAAGAAAAATGAACATGTGAAATGCAAGAGAAGCATGATGCAAAAATGTGTCACAAACCCACACTTAAGAGCCTCCGGCTCAGTCCGCCGACCCAGTGGCGGAGAAAGCACGAAAGCCTAAACGCGAAACCTTGAGGGTTTTCAGCGGCTGGCACGAGACCAATAGATAGGCGCAACAAGACTAGTCC